ATGAATTTAGTTTATATTTAGTGTAGCATTTTTTTATTGAATGACATAATAACGTTAGTAACTTAATAATAACAATAATAATTTTAGATTTAAATAATTTTTTAATATTATTCTCATATTGAAATAGGTAGAAGAAGAAAGAAAGAAATTGGGTCTTTTACTGAAAGAAATTGGTGTGAGACAACTAGCAACTAGAAAACAATATATAATTTTATATGATTATATTGCCTCCTGCTGGTGTCATAAATATGAATTTTTCTTCAGGTGATACGTGAAATTCTGTTAATTAATTAAAAAAAAATTAATTCTGTTAAATTACCATTGCTAATTTATATGCATGTCTCTTATCTAGAAGTTTTTAAGCATAATAGGAGCTTGAGAATAGAAACGATTTTTTTTAAAGTCTTTTCTTTTCTTTCTAAATTTCATATTAATTCAAGTACTAACTGTTTGCGGGTCTTGAATATAGTTCAATTCTTTATTTACGCGATATGAGTTTTCTATTTATGAATTAATTACTTTAAGATTTATTCAAAATAAAAATGTTTAGCTTCTGCTCAAAAAGTATACTGATTTTGTAAATAAAACACACAAATTTATTCCAAATTTATTTTATCTGCTTCAAAATATGCTCCTTCTGAAGCGATACACATGTCTTCCATACACTTTTCGTAGGCCCGTGCTGGTATGGCTTTTAGTTCCTTCGGCGAATTCTCTTTTACTGATTTAATCGACTCAAAACGATTACCACGAAGGGGCAATTTGAGTTTCGGGAACACGAAAAAGTCGCACGGATCCAGATGTGTTGAATATAGTGCCTGAGCGATGACAGTGGTGCCGTGTTTTGTCAAAAAATCGCGTACAACAAGAATTTTCCATAGTAAAAATCGCTTAATGCACTTGTGGTAGTCTCATATTAACAGCTGCTGTAAACTAATTGACAGATGGCGCTTAACCAACATAACATAAAGAATTTTGATAAAGGTCTATTACTTGAGTAGTTAACAAAGAACAAATCCGGATACTTTTTAAGCAGAAGGTTGTCCCATTATTGAAAATTTTTATACAAAAATTTAGTTAAAAGTTCTCATAACTGAATTTTTTTTGTAGCTAATTTGCGTTTTCGTGTCTTTTATTTTTATTAGTTTTTATGATTTTGGTGGTGCCAGTTAAGAATTTGATATATGCCTATTTCTGAGGTGATTTCAGCACTAACTGCTTGCAACAGTTAAATGAAAAAGTTAACTTCTTAATTTATGTGATATGAATTTTCCATTCGTGGCTTAATTATTTTATTAATTATTTTTAAAATTTCTTCAAAACAAATAAATCTGCATATGTATTTAAAAATTTGTGTCTTTCTTTTGTCAACCGATTAGCTAAGAATTGTAATAGAATATATTATATTATGTCACAGTTTTGTTCATTTAAAACAGTTTTGTTTATTTAAAAAGTGTTCTCTCCACATAGAGAACTAAACAGCTGGATTCTGTTGATTTACTAAGTCTATTTTAGTGAGGTGTTATTGTAGTATGTTAAACACATCTCAATAGCTACATTTCAGCGCTCATGTACGCATATATAGTGAAGATATTTAATGAATATGCATAATTATATATAATTGTTAGTAATTAATTATAGGTAATTAATGATTAACAAAGTGTAAACTACGTTGGATTAATTACACTTAAATACATATCTATACATATGTACACGAATATCAATCAGCAATTGATTGGAATAATAATCTGGTTATTTATATTCTAAAGTTCAATATCATGAGCCAACTTGTTCTCAATCACTTTTACTTTCATTACTTGGATACGATAATAATCATTTTTAATTGTAAAATAAATTAAATATCAATTACATTTTACAGTTGTTTATATTTACTCATTCGAAATATATACATAAGTAGATATTTGTATATATTTATTAAAAAATTTAAAGAAAAAACAATTAATACTCAATTCACATAGTCTAAATAAGCAAAGCTAATAACAGTGTCGCATTTAAAATAATAATATAAAACCGAAATGAATTTCAATTTGTTAACAATAAATTTTGAATACACGTAAAGTGGTTTTTGCTTTCCCGAAAGAATCGTCAGAGATAAAAGCAAGGCTGAAATGAAATTAACACGTTCAATGAAACATTTTTGAAATATGTTTTCAAAGCCAAGATAGTAGAATGAGTTATTGTGAAATATTTCTGGTATTAACTCGTTCGTAGCCGTCATTTCAATATACCTATCACTGCATTGCACCTCGGGAGTTATACACATATGCTTTAATTGATTATCTTTGAATTACTTGAAGGTTTTGTTTTTATACCTGTTTATAACATAAAAACAATAATGTAATGTTCAACTAATCTATTTATAATATTAATCTAGCTTTTTGATTGCCAGTTTTTAAAGGAAATAATTTATTACGATAATAGTTAATAAATCAGATTTCGATATTGGGATTTTGCAGTGGAAAAAATACGATATTCAACTAATTACTATTGTTTCCTTGAACTGTTAATATATTCTAATATACCATATTTATGCATAAGACAATAAAACCAAATACAATTAAAAAATAATAACTAATATTTAATAATTTAAAATGTTTTAGTAAGTAGGTAGGTTGTAGTGGTGGCCTTGTACTCGTATTCAAGAAAGAACACTTGAGCTCAAATAATGGCGCATTGTGGTACCATAGAAATAACGTTTGTTCGTAAATAGACTAAAATGTTAGTATACGACCAACACCGAAAAAGGTAACGACACTCCCATTAGGTAAAAGTAAACCAACCTGTTAGTTCTATGAATTGGCTAAGTCCCAAATATTGTAGTATGACAGATCGGTAAGAAAAGAAGCCCTGAAGATTTTTGATTTTCTCTTAGCTAAGAAAGGACACTAAAGAAGGGATGGAGCACTGCGCAAAAGTTGTTATAGGGTAGATCCAGTCTCATAGCATGCTTTCCTATTATGTAGTGGCCCGTCAGCATAGATACCGTAAAGTTGAGCAGATACCAAATATTGTAGTATGACAGGTCGGTAAGAAAAGAAGCCCTGAAGATTTTTGATTTTCTCTTATCTAAGAAAGGACACTAAAGAAGGGTTGGAGCACTGCGCAAAAGTTGTTATAGGGTAGATATAACATAGCATGCTTTCCTATTATGTAGTGGCCCGTCAGCACAGATACCGTAAAGCTGAGCAGGTGCATAAAATGATTTATTTAAACTTCAAAAATTCTTTAATAAGAATAATCAAATATATACTTCTCGGAAATTCATTATTTATTAGTTATCGAAAATTAACTATAAGTGATTTTCTTATTTATCTTCTTATTGAATATGAAGAAAATAAATTGAAATAATTTAGCATATCGTCAATATTTGGCAAAGAAGCTCTTGAAGACAGTTTAAAAAGAGATACAGTTTTATAGCTACGGAATAGGCTCCTGAGAATGTATATTCTTACAGGAAAGGCAATAAAACTCTGTAAAATAGGTTATATACCATTTTTTTTGACGCAATCGGGCTTAGAGACCAACTCTAAACTTAGAAGGGGGCATAAAAAATGTCCAAAATATTAAAAAAATGTAGTTAATAACGATAGAAATGGAGAACTCCCAACGAAAGTCACCATTACATTACACATATGATACATATGATAGTTTTATAACGTATATTGTTACTACTTCACTGCTTTCCTATACTACTATTCACTAACTTTAAAGATTTAATTAGTTAGGAAGTTTGATCTATTCGTCAGGTCAAGTACTATATGCGGCTACTCTTTAGTTTTTTTGTGGTAAACTATTATCTGTTCAGAATAAAACCAATTTATAATTATAGTTGTGGAACTATAATGTGGAAGATAGTGGAAGATAATAATATATTTAATGCTGAATATACTGTATTCTAATAATACAGTATTAAAAGCTTAACAAAATACGTATAATTTAGCATTTCCTGCATATCTCTGATTTATGGTCTATGTAGTTAATTGATAAAAGTTACTTTGCAGATTTAACGAGTTTCAAATGATTTCACGAGATTTTTTTATATGTTATACAACTAGCAAAGAAAAAGAACTGTCATGCCTCACATTGGAAATCCTTAATATTACTTACAAGCTATAAGGTGTTGTATTTTTCGTGTACTATATACTTGGTAACTATAAGATCGGCCAAATTACTCATATAGTTTTCTTTCAAAACATTCCAACAAATATTTCCAAATAATCTTTAAAAATCATTTGAAAATATTATCCAATATAGATTGTTGGAATATGTTTCATACGAAGCTTAATCATTTTATCTTCCACTGTTCATTTTTTAGTGATCCAAACATTTATCTGTCTTAAGTGAATTTCTACTACAACATTTTATTGTTCACAAATATTATGTTATAATTGTTTATAATAATAGTTTGAATTTATCCTGACCCTATATTATATTATGTTTCAACTGCAGCTAAAACTACTTATGTAAATGAAATTAAGATTTAGTCGTTTCCATTGGAGTGAGTTGATTTGTGCATAAGAAATAGCTTGTTTGTTTACATTTTATATATAAAAAATATAACAAATATATCAAATTTTGCTAATTTCCCTTTTGGAAAATTAATTTTTAAGGGTTGCATTAGACATTTTAATCCCTTAATCAGTTGATTTATTTATAATGAGTTCGTTTAACATATATGAAAGTACTTTATGTTATATGCTAAATTAAAACTGCTGAAATGAGACAAGTAGAAACATGGTATTAAAAATTTAAGACAAAGTTAATTTTTTTTTCAGAAAGTTAGAAAGGAAACACTTTTTTTAATTAGGCTGTTTTAATTATCATAATTATTGTATTTAGCGAATATTTGATATGTGAAATTTGGGAAATGGTACCATAAATAATAATTTTATTATACCGAAACCAACTATTTGTTTATACAATATATATTATTGTTGTTATACAATTATTACCAATAAATACTTTTTTTATATTTTTAGATATACTTTATTGTACCAGTGAGAAAATAAACACTTTCAACACTTGAATAATTATTCGAAGAAATCCATAATGTCTAAACTATGGGCGGCATTAACGCGTCAAAAAACTGACGACGTCAATGAGTCAGAATCCAAATTAGCGCGAGTTTTAACACTAATCGATTTGACAGCGTTAGGCGTTGGTAGTACGTTAGGTCTAGGAGTCTATGTATTAGCCGGTTCCGTAGCATACAATATAGCTGGTCCAGCTGTAACGCTGTCATTTTTGATAGCTGCTGTCGCATCCGCTTTCGCTGGTATATGTTATGCCGAGTTTGCAGCACGCGTGCCAAAAGCAGGTAGTGCCTACGTTTACAGCTATGTGACAATTGGTGAATTTGTTGCCTTCACAATCGGTTGGAATTTGATATTGGAATATGTAATAGGTGAGTTAAAGAAAAACAAAAAACAAGTTAAATAAAAAAAAAAATCTAACTCAATGAAATTATTTTTATAAAGGCACGGCGAGTGTAGCACGTGGTTTGAGTGGTTACTTTGACTCGTTAATCAATAACAGCATGTCTAAAGCTTTAGAAGAAGCAATGCCAATCAATGCTGGTTTCCTTGGCAATTATCCCGACTTTCTGTCATTTGGTATGGTTTTACTCTTGGCAGCGCTTTTAGCTTTTGGTGTCAAAGAATCTAGTTTCTTAAATAATATATTTACCACTGTTAATTTGGTGACGATTGCAATTGTTTTGGTAGCAGGCGGTATTAACGGTAAGAGCAAATCTAATATTTTTGATTCAGTTTTATTAATATTTTTTTTTTACAGCTAAACCTTCAAATTGGAAGATACCTGCAGATCAAGTACCTATTGTAGAAGGTAAAGATTTTGGCACAGGCGGTTTTATGCCCTATGGCATTGCAGGCGTTATGGCTGGTGCGGCAAAATGTTTTTATGGTTTTGTTGGTTTTGATTGTATTGCTACCACCGGTGAAGAGGCTATTAATCCTAAGCGCAATATACCATTGGCTATTGTTATATCACTGATTATTATATTTTTGTCTTATTTTGGTGTGTCAACCGTTTTGACAATGATGGTACCCTATTTCGAACAAGTATGTTAAGCAAAATTTTTTATTTACATTCATTGATTTTAATATATTATTTTGATTTTAAGGATCCACATGCGCCTTTCCCTTCTGCATTTGAAAGTATCGGTTGGGATACAGTTAAATGGATTATTACTATTGGTGCTGTGTTTGCTTTGTGTACTAGCTTATTGGGTGCTATGTTTCCTTTGCCACGTATTCTATATGCTATGGGTAACGATGGCATTATGTTCAAGAAATTATCAACAGTACATGATTACACACAAACTCCTCTGCTAGCTACGATAATATCTGGAATATTTGCATGTAAGTACAAAATGAAGACTTGATATATTCCGTAGTTTTAACGTTTCAATATCAAAATCTGAAACTTATTAAGTACATATATGACTTTCTGATTAAATATTTGAAAAAAAACCGTACATCGGTCTCGGCTCTTTCTAACACTACAATGTGGTTCCAAGTGCGACCGGGTCTAAGTTCCGGAGCCACTAGTCAATTTCGACTACCAAGTACCGTTCACAATTCCCAAAAGGGACTATATAACCAGTTCTTAGTGGGCTATAACAGTAAAATGTCTTGCGCGTTGAATCTAGCAGAAATATCAAGCTGTGACAGATTCACTACAACTTAATTCTTCCAATTTAATAAAAGTCTCGCGCTTCCTGTTGATATCATTATGAATATTTTTTAGCTGAATGTTTTACTTTCTTTCTTGACATATCATAGCGTGATATAGTTCATCATACACTTCATCTTTCCATCTAAAATGATAATAACTCTTAACCTAGTTTGAATAGAAGATTTATCGTAAAATTTTTTTTTGGAAAACCCTAATTATCGTTGATACTGATTATATATGCTTTTATGCCATTTAATACCAAGAGCAATATAAGCTTCTTAATAGTCATTTTTGATGGTCGAGAGAAGGTTATACTTCTCAATTGAGCATTTAATTACAAGAGTGATTTTCAGACTTATTGCTGGTGTTGATGTTGGTTCCAGAATTATGCTAAGGTGTAGGGGGGTTCTGGAAAATATTTTTTGATAGTGTTTTTGTAATAGAATAAATTTTTGTTCTGTTTATTGCATTGCCCCACGAATACACCATTGTTACCTCCATGGTGTGGTTATCAACAGTGTCATGAGTATTTATGTGAATAGATAATAAATTTAAAAATAATTACTACACATTACATTTTTATTAAAATAATTGTAATGGGCTTATTCGCTCCACTGGGTGCACAGAACCTTCCGAAATTCTACGAGTATTCCATTTCTTTTAATGGCTGAAATAATCGCTAGAACTATGTTATTTTAAATTGTCAAAATAGAATATAAAAAACTAATTATTGTTAACTATTAAATTAATAAATAATTCATTGTTATTCACTTTCAGCTATAATGGCATTACTTTTCGATTTGGATCAATTGATTGACATGATGTCAATTGGTACATTATTGGCCTATACAATCGTCGCTATATGTGTTTTGGTGCTTCGTTATCAGGATGAGCAAATGTTTACACAAGTCACTATTAGCTGCCCAGTTGTTTTGCGTCAATTATTCAATAGTAATAAATTTAAGGAACCAAATATTTTAACCTCAACCATAACCAAAGTAGGAGTAGTTGTATTCGCCATTGTATGCATAATATGGTGCATATGTGATAAATACTATGATCTGGATTCTACAGAGGGCATCATTACGTTAAGTGTCATTGCTGCTGCTTTAATATTAATATTGATTATCATAGCCATGCAGCCAGTTTCAACCATTGAGCTTACGTTCAAGGTGCCACTGGTGCCACTTGTGCCGTGCTTAAGTGTATTTGCAAATTTATACTTAATGTTCCAATTGGACGTATACACATGGATACGTTTTCTGATTTGGGTCGCCATTGGCTATATAATTTACTTTACCTATGGCATTCGCAAATCGACACAAATCCAAAGGAACAGAAATAATGCAGAAGCAGCATTACGTATGCAACACACAAATCAAGCCTTCGAACCAGATTGGAAATCTGAGCACATCATAGCCGAAAAGCATTAAAAGCAACGCTTATTCAGCATTTTTAAGAGAGCAGAGATTTAAAGTATTTCGAAAATTTTATTATTATTATTTTTATTATTTGAAAACAGCAAATATTTTATTATATAGTGTTTAATGTAAAATTGATCGAAAATTGTGTAAAAAGTTTGTAAATTTATCTATACCCTGAGATTGTTTAAAATATTTTTAAGTAAATTAACTGTTGGTTATTAAGTTATTTTGAGATTTTACTATATATAAATTTTTATGATTTTTGTTTTATCAGTAGCATCATTGTATATTTTAAAACTAATTTTTTTAATTATAGTAAATTAGATATGTGGATTCGTATTGTTATAGAGCTTTTTTTTAAACAACTTTGAATTTATTTTTTAATTAATTTTATATTTAATATTTTAATATGTATTATTTGTTTACATTTTTATATTTTAACTTGTTTAATATCGTATTTATTTATTATTTTATTGTAAAAAAAAAATTATTATTTTTATTTTATTATATAGTTAACTTACTACTTTATTTATAAAGTGTGAGAGAGATGTATAGATTGCGCATAAAAATTAAACAAGTTCGTTTTTAAATAATTGTATATATAATTATTTATATGTTTTTTATATATATGTAAGTAAATAATATGAAAATGTACATTTTACAAATAATTTTATATTATTTATATTATACAATCGAGCTTCCATGTCTTCTACTATATTAGAGCATTTTTATCAAACTCGTTTAAAAGAAATGACTTGTTATTTTTATGCGCCCTCAGATATGCAACTTTTACATTCAATCATTCCAAAAAACAAAAACTTTTACTTCTTGTGATTTTTATATAATAATAAAAACTAAAAATGTATAAAATATTAAATTGCCAGTTAATCATAAGTGTAATTTTAAGTTTTAAAAACAAAAAAAAAGATATATAAATGTATGTAAATAAAATACAAATAAATATAATATTTTTTATAACTACTAAGACTTATCAAGTTAATTAATAGCATAAACTAAGAGATAATAGGGTTTTAGGTTCACAGTATAGACCAATGCAGTTTAGAAATTAACAGTGTTCTAGAATTTGAACGTAGCGGGATACTGTGATCAATGTTAATAGATGACGCTCAGCTTTCATATGAAAATTAAAATGTTCTTTGTTGAGTATCTTACGAAATAGGAGATATAACGTTAGTATTTTGTCACAGAGAATATGAGTAGAAGTCTGAATATCTTTAAAGTAAAAACGATATTCTATTATCTTAAACAAACAGATATTCTTGAGTTGGATTACGATGACCCAAAGGTAACCTGAAAGCATATCAGCTGTTAAAGAGTATCACATTAATAGCGGAGTCTTTTTTTTACTATACAATTTAAGATCATAGACTTAGTTGTGGATCAACTAACTTCGCAACACTACTTCTGTCTGCAGAATTTTATATTGTATTGTTAAATATGGAACCTTGAGTTTCCGAAATATTATTTTTTTGATATAGGTTGTGAGGTTTTTTTGATCTTTAATTTTTTGAATCTTAGAAACATAAAAATTCTTTTAAATATTGAAGAAATGCAGTAATTAGATTGCCTCTAACAATCAGAATAAAGCATTTAGAAAGAATATATAACATATTTTTATCATAAACATTGTCATTAAATCTTAAAAAAGTTTCTCTTTATATCTAATCTATTACGGTTTTGCGATACTTTAATATACTGACTTTCATATCATATTTTTAGACTACGAAAACAATATTTATAATTGGTCAACTGGCAATTGGGATCTTGTTAATCCAATAATGTAAACAAAGATAGAAAAGTTGTGTTGTTTTTCTTTTGCCATTATGAATTTTTAAGTTAGATACAAAAATTTGATTTGTTTAAATCTATATAATGCCATATATTTATATCTATATTTACACTTATATTTATATCTTCTTCATATTGGTTTCAAAGTGACTCTAATAACAGTGTTATAAAAGAATTAGATAATTGAATTAGATATATATATATATATATATATATGTATATATTTTTTTTTTGTGTCTGGCTATGGGTCATTTTTTTTTAATAATTTAACGTTTGTTTAATATCTTCTTGGGAGTCATCACCAGGATTACGAACTAACATAAATTAATATTACTAAAACTATATCTACGTCATCCTATTTATTCTATTGTTTATACTGCATTATAGAAAAAAAAACATAAAAATAATTATAAAAAAACAGGTCGATAAATAAATTTAAAATTTTATGAAATTAGATAATACAAATCAAAAATTGTTATAACTATAAATTTTAATGTATAGTAAAGTAAAATATATAGGAACTAAAATTTTTATGAAAATATTCAGTAGTATTGCTTAGCAAGAATGTGAAATAAAATTTACTTGAATCCTAATTTTTCAATCATCTGCTTGGTATGTGTTGAATCCAAAATAACGTATTTAAAATGAAATTTTAATTTGTAATCATTATAAATTCATCAATATGTGCTCAGGAGAGGAATAGAAAGTTTATCTTTTTCAAATTCAATCTGAAACTGTGCTTAGAATTTGTTTTTAATCTTCTTTATTTAATGCGGATATTCAAATGTGCTGAAACCAATACTATTAAACGAACTAAACCAGATAGCCTAAACCTAATACCGCATGACTGTTTGACTTTTGACCAGAGGAGATTAAAAGTAATGCTCTACCCACATAAGCAATTTGTTGTTGTTTGCTGCTGAAATTTCTGTTGATTTTTGTTTTTGTATAGAATATCAAAGGTTTAATTGAAAGCTTAAATACGGATGGAAACGAAAAGTTTTTAAAACCAAAAGGAAATAGCCAAGTCCAAAATGAAATTGTTGCAAAGAAATAAATGGAAAAAAATGATAAAAAATTTTAGAATAGATAAATAAATGCATTTGATATGCACATATGCGGAAAGATACAATTTTCACACGCTGGTATTATTATAACATATTAAAGCATAGTATTAAAACAAAATAGAATGAGGGGCAGGAGCGAGAGAAGAGCCAAAACGTATAAAAATGCTGTAAAAGTAGTAAAACATTTACTTTATTTTTTAAATGTAAAAAAATATGCAGTAAAAGAGTATTAGTTTATTTTTTGTAGATTTTTTTATATTTGTTAAATTTGATTTTATCTGAAATATTTAAAATAATTTTACTAAAAAATTATATATACGAACGGCCTGAAATTATGCTATGAAACACGTGTAATTTAATTTGTGTGATTTATGTGGTTTCATTTACGTGTTTTAATTAAATGCGTTTAAATATTTGAAAGTGCATTTCTGCCTAAATCTTCCATTGCAATTAACACACGATCCGTTGCAGTTGTATAAATATTTTAAGCACTCAACACTAACAAAACAACAACATCCACTACGACGACAACAACAATGAAATAGCAACAAATATTAGTGAAAATTAGCAAAATATTTTAGCGCTACAAGCTTGTGTATGTGGTTTTAATCATTAAATCGCGTAGGTTTTTCCATCAAATTGGATTTTATTGGATGTGTTGAATGGTGAACACTAACATATCCCAGCCATACTATATAAGGTGGGGCTAAAATTCAGTTATTGACATTATTTTCATTTTAAATTAGTTGCTTGTTAATTTTTCCACATTTCCACATTTGGGCGTTAATTTTTGCTTATATTTTGGCATTATTGCGTTGATGATTTTGTCAAAATATTATTAAAAATATTTAATAATTTTAAATTCAAACAATTTTAAAATATCTTAAAAATAGTAGAGAAAAATGTGAAATTAATTATGCAAATTTTTCTTTTTTGCATTAAAAAAATTTTTAATAATTTAGTGAGCTAATTTTATTTCATTTATGTAAATATTTCCACTTATTTTAAAATAAATTTGAGTATTATAATCATAGTAAGAACGGTTTATTGATTACAAAAAAATATTCCAAATATTGAAGATACCACAGGAGTAGTTAAAGTGAGGCACATAATGTTACACGTGACTTAAAATTTTTTGAAAACTAATATTTCATAATAAAGAGAGTGTCAATGCCTCTTATTTTAATATAAACAGCTTAAATAGAAAAAAAAACGATCTCTCAAACAGTCATACGCAAACGCTTACAAGCCACGAAAATAATTTAAAAATAAGGAAAATGAGTACCACATGAACTGACATAAGCCAACATTGAAAATCATTTAAAGTTTTAATTCTTTGCTTACAAGAAACCATGGATGCTTTGTATTAATTTGTGAATGGCGATGAAAAATTGATTTACTACGATAGCCCTAAAAGCAAAAAATTAAGGGTTCATTTAGGCGTACCATGCATATCAACGTAAACTGATTTTGCGTTATGCTTCACTAGATTACAAGTTGATCCGAGTCATTTTTCGAGACCAGCGCTTCAGAAACAACGAAAAACTAAAAAATGGCTCGATAAATGGATCACCTCAAAAGATAAATACTTTTTTTTTCATTGGTTCTTCAACTGCCAAAAAGAAGGTCGAAAATTATAGCCAACGATCGAAAATATTTTGAATAAAATAAAATGTATAATTTTTTTGAAATTAACAATATTATATACTCAAGTTTCTGCCTAATATTAAAATTCTGTAAGACTTGTCTTTTATTGATAAAATTGATCAAAACTTTAATTTAAACTCAATTATGGGTTGATCGTGTAACAATTTCGAATACCATTATCATCAACTGCGAATACTGGTTAATATCAAGTACTAGTTTTGGATAGTTTCCAGTATCAGACCGCCCAGTTTTAACTCTCAGTAGGAACAGATTTTTAGAGAAATATTTTCGCGACGAACTCCTAGATTTGTTATTAATAAGAATTTATCAATTTAATGTATATATGTATATGTATATGTATATGTAATGTATATATACATGAGTTTTTTGCAAAAAAATATGATACCAAAGAGGCAAATATTTAAGAATTATTAAGGTGGAAAATTATCAGTCACTATAACCAACCAATCAATAATCAGTTCTTATACTTCCTAATATTCACATTCATATTTAAAAGTTGTCAGTTTTAATAGTCCATACATTGTGCACATATATATGGTGTAAAGTTATAAACACGCCTCTTAAAAATGCTATGGCCTCACTCT